AGAGAGAGAGAGAGAGAGAGAGAGAGAGAGAGAGAGAGAGAGAGAGAAGGCAGGAAGACACCAGGTTAGATCTTAGAGAAGCAGAAATTATCCATTAGATTTCACCTCTGTTACGAAGGTCAACAGGTTAGCCTTATGAAGTTAAACAGGAAGGAAGCTAAGAGGGTGCTGAGGCAGCCGGGTGCTGGGAGGACTGATAGCGCCTATGTGCCCCCCACCAAGGGTTCAGGTGATTTCACTTAATACCCAGATTTGTGTTGATGGTATTTGGAGATGGAGTCTTCAGGAAGTGATTAGGATTAGATGAAGTCTTGGAGGTAGAGCTTACGTGATGGCGTTAGTGGCTAAGTAAAGGAACAGACATCCAAACTGGCACCATGTCTCACCATATGACGTCTTCTGCTAGGATATAATACAGCAAGAAGGTCCACACAGGATGTCAAGTAGACATTAGAACCATGCTCTTAAACATCTCGGTCTCCAGGACAGTAAGCTATATAAACTGCCGTTCATTATAAATTACTTTGCATTAAGCATTTTGCTATAGCAATAGAAAACAGACTAAGATACCATATAGGATATGCTCAGCAGAGATGGGGGCAGCTCAGTCATCCCTAAGACAGGTTTCCATTCCAACATTCAAAGATTCAGTGGGTTCCTGGGGACAGACACGCACTGGTAAGCCAAGACTCACACACATCTAAGACCTGTACTTAAACGATTTCATCTAGATATCATTTTCTGTGAGGGTGTGACTGGGATCCTTTACCTTAAGAAAACTATAGCATTGGTATCATAAATCAAAACTGACAGAGAATGAACCCAGTCTGTTTACAGTGTTACTTTGAAGTCACCAGTTCAAGGCTAGTTGTGTCTCATACAACAGTGTTTTTCTGAGGTCCTGTGTCCTGAGCTGTATCCCAGGGGGAGTGTCTCCTGCCTTTCTGCAAGCCATCTGTAGGTGCTGAGTGAAGCACTATGGCCTTTACCTCTGTTGCGGGTGACTTCACCCAGCCCCATGAACAGAGCTGCTCATCACGTGGCTGCCCCATCAAGAGGCTGAGAAGTAACAAAACCCATGCAGGCTGCTTCTCTCCCTTCTCCTTCATCCCCTAAAGATTCCCAAATGGAAGGAAGGGAAGAGAGCCAGAGGAAAAGACTGCATATTGCTGGTGCTGCTCTCCCTCTAAACTGACAGCACCGAGCTGATCTAGGCCCCAAGGGTCCTCGGCACCATGCAAAAGCGGATCTGATCTTACAGGCTGGCGCTTTGTGCTGATGTTGTTTGCTCCGGTAAATAATGCAGTCAGGGCCTTTCTGCTCAGAAGCACCTGGCTGCCTCCCTCCAGGGAAAATGCAGGACAGAGACTCAGTGGCCACGGGATGGAAGAGCAGCCCGTGAAAATGGCCCGGTCTGACAATAGGGGTGGGGGGAGGGGGCGCTTCAGCGAGCTGGACCTCAGCGCCTGTCAACTAAGGTGTTTCCCGGTCTCAGTGCTCCAGCAAGGTGGCAGGAGGTGTGGGAAAGGATGGAGCAAATCCAATAAAGCGTATTATGCAAGCGGTGGAGCTGCCCAGGGCGAGTTGAGAGGCGAACGCCAAGGGCAGGAGGACGGCACTCCTTTCCCATGGGCCCTTGCTTCACTGAAAGACTGTCTACCTTCCACAGAAGCCTAGAACTGCTCTGCTTCACTAAATGAAGAAGGCTGCAGCGAGATATGTTGGGCCCTTCCCCTTCTTCAAAAGCCGTGGCAGGAGACAGATACACATTTAGTAAGCTTACTTTCCTTAGGAAGAGAAGTCCTGGCCAGCTTCCATCTTACTGTTTTGTGTACATATCCTGCTACATGCGGAGCCAGAGTCCAATCTTAAGCTGTTGTAGAGACTATTCGTCCCCAGTATACACGCTTTCGCTTCTTCTAGCGCGATGTCACCAAAGGGAGGAAGCTGCACATTTTCTCCTTTAATGGAAGAAGCAAAAAATCTGAAGCCTCTAAGCTCCTCCCTGATGGCTTAGCAAAGGACCCTTGCTTTCTGAAGGGCTTATGCAGTCTCAGTCTCTCTCTCTCTCTCTCTCTCTCTCTCTCTCTCTCTCTCTCTCTCCCTCCCTCCCCCCACTGTGTGTGTGTGTGTGTGTGTGTGTGTGTGTGTGTGTGTGTCCCTCTCCCTCTCTCCCTCTCCCCCTCCCTATCTCATATGTGTGGAGGCTAGAGACATGGCTCACTGGGCAAAGACACTTGCCAACAAGCCTGATGACCTGAACTCAATCCCCGAGACCCAGCTCCCCTAAGTTGTCCTCTGTGCACGATCAGACACACGCTAAAGAAAATACATACATATGAGAATTTAGAAAAGGGCAGTTATTCCAAAAGAAAACACGGACAAGAGTCCCAAATACCAAATAGACAATTCAAACCAGACACTATCTGAACGGCCACGAGATACAACACACCATCTCAGTGTCAGAGAACAATGCAAGTTGAAACTACAGCGAGATACCACTACATACCCACTGGGGAAATTAAAATAAGAAAGACTAAGAATGTAAAATTCCCACAGGACTGTAGGAAAAGGGTTTTCACATGCGGCCGGTCATAGTTCAAAATGCCCATCAGTATGGAAAACCTGTCACAGCCCTATTATGACTCAGCAGTTCCCGACGGCAGCCACACCAAGACCTGCATTAGAATGCTGGGCATAGGATTTGTAACACACACCGATGAGCCAAATATCCACCAACCGCAAAAATGAATAAACAGTTATATAGACTAACGAACCAGCTACCCAGAACAATCGACATGAACCCTATAAGATGTTTAAGCAAAATCTTCAATAAAAGACACATACATGTAATATGGGATAATACTCATGTAAAGTTTATAGATAGCTGCTACTTCCAGGTTTACAGATGAAAGGCTAGCCGGTAAAATCATGTTGGCTTCGTAAGAGAAAAGATAATGATGACCTTGGGAATAGCAGGAAGGGTGACAGCTGGAGTCCTTATGAAGAGGCAGATGGAGGGTATGTCTATGCAGTTGACTTGATTCCCGTTGGTAGGCACATAGGTGTTTGGTTTATAACAGATCATTGATCTACACATTTTTGTTCTCAGTGTTCTTCTATTTGCTTGTACATTTAACAACTAAAAACAGTACCTTTTTAAAACTGATTTTTCGGACACAGATTTGGCATATCGGAGTCCCATCTTAGTTCTAGTTTTACCACCTAGCGACCTTGGTAAGTGACTTTACTTCTCTAGGCCTCGGCTTCCTTTGAAATGTTAGGGAAGATGATGGCTAGTCAGCTGGAGCAATAGAAGGCAGGCATGGGTGCCCTATGGCAAACTGAAAGCCCAGTACAAGCCTAGAATAGATTAGATGGCAGAGAATAGTCAGAGGAGTAGCAGCTGGAACTTCTTATTCTGCCTTACATTTACTCTAATCTACTTTTCTGTATGAGTCAGACTTTGGTTGCTATAAAAAAACAATCTGAGATAAATCAACTTATAAGGAGTAACTGTTTATTTTGGTTCAGCTCTAGGGAGTTCAAGCCATAAGTGGCCCTGATGCTTTAGGTCTGCGATGACACATCATAGATGGAGAGTTTGGCAAAGGAAGCTGCCCTTCTGAGGGCTGTGTGTGAAAACAGGGAGGAGATCAGTGCCCCATAGCCCACCACCACCACTTTAGAGCTAAGACTTCTAACTAGACCCCCCTCCCTCTTTATCTATCTTCATCTATCTATCTATCTATCTATCTATCTATCTATCTATCTATCTATCTATCTATCTCTGTTTCTTGCTTTTGGTTTTTCAAGACAGGACTTCTCTGTGACAAGCCTTGGCTGTCCTGAAACTCTCTCTGCAGACCAGGCTGGCCTAGAACTCAAAGAGATCCTCCTGCCTCTGCCTCCCGAGTGCTGGGATTAAAGGTGTGTGCCACCACCAACCAGGCTTAGACCCCATCTCTTGAAGATTCCTGAAATTTAGCACCTTCTAGAACCATGACTGACACCTAACAGTGTCAAACAAGGACCAAGGGCTCTAACATTTAGGCCTCTAGAAAACATCCCAGATCCAAGACATAGTGGTTGTTTAAATTGTACTGAAGCAGAAAACACTCTGGGTGAAGGAAATGTCTTCTTTGGCACTTAAATATCACATCTTTCAAATGCAATGCACATTATCTACTCAAAGAGGATCAGATCAGCTAGCAGGACAATGTTTGGTGGGAACTCAATTGCCAGTGTTCGTTTCTTTCACGGCAGGGCAGGGGCAGAAGTAGTAGCAGAGAGGTGGCAGTGGTAGTTGTTGATTTAGGACATCTATGAAGGAACACGAAGATTCTCTGAGATATAGTCTGCTCATCTGTGAAAGAAGTTGGAGCTCCTAGACCAAAGAGCTTAGGAAGTATTGACAGTTGTTAGAAAGTACCAGCACTTCACAAGAATGATGGCTGGATCAGAAAACTGAAGGTTGCTTTCTAATTAGCAGTCATGGGATCCTCTACAACTCACTGTCTCAAAAGAACCACTGTCTTTCCTTACAGTTCTGTGGATTAAAGAAAGAGTGGGTGGGGCTCAGCTGAGCAGTTCTGTCTTAGGATCTCCTACGTGTTTGCATTGAGATGTCCTGACGCTGCAGTCCCTTGAAGACTTTGCTTGCTGGACTGGAGACCCACAGTCCTTGCAGGTTTATTAATCACCGCTTTCTTGGGCACCTGCATGTGACCTGTTCTTGGTCTGGGCTTCCCTGGAGCATAGTCATTCTGGGGATCCAAAACTGAGTGTTTCAGCAGAGAAAGGCAAAGCTCATTGGCTTTTGGGACCCAGCCGTGGAAGTCGCCTACTACAGTTTTCCCATAACTTGTAAAGATTAAAGGACTGGGGACACAGTATCTGTAGCTGTCTTTTAGTGTTCAGCCAACCTATTAACACTAAGATCTGGGAACTTTTCCCTCTAACCTTAAGGGCAGCCTTGCATATTTGTAAGAGTTCTGTCTCCGTTCAAACTCTCGCTCTGCCTCTTATTGGCTGTATGGCCTTCAGGAACCTCTCAACATCTCTGCAGGACTTGTGAACTTGAGAGAGCTACAGCGCCACCCTCACCGGACCCTGTAAGGACGGTGAGTGGTAGCCTTTGGCGTTTTTTCCGTCCAGAATTATATATCCAGTCCACTGGTCTTAGGCTCTGGTCGTGTTGTTCTTAATATTTGCAGGCCTCCACACTCTTCTTGGGTAGACCATCCTCTTTCCTGGGACCTATGGAACTGGGACCTCTGCCTTCTTCTAGGCAATATGGCACCAGACACAAGTCAAGACATTCCTGAGTCCAACTCCCAAATCCGCCTCTTGCCTGAGGAGAATGGGATAAGTTGCCAGTCCTCTGGGGTGTCGTTTCTTGTAACATGAGTGGGACCTGTTTGTTGGGTCTTCTTTCCCGCCCTGACCCCCAGCTGTTTAGTCCCAGAGAAAAATCACACTGAGATCTTTATAAGTTACAAAGCTGATTGGCCCATTAGGTCAGGCTACTTATTAGCTAACTCTCTCATCTTGATTAACCCATTTTTCTGATCTATTTTAGCCCTGTAGCGCAGTACCTTTTTCAGTGGGGCAGCTCACATCCTGCTGTTTCAGTGATCTGGACAGGAGTGGGAGGAATCAACTTCCTCCTTCCCAGAATTCTCCTGCTCTCCTTGCATCATTTTCACTTCCTTTCTGGTTTTCCCACCTACACCTCCTGCCTGGCCAATCAGCGTTTTATTTAAAACATGATTGACAGAATACAGACAATTCTCCCGCACCAGTTTCTCTCACCTAAAAACGGAAGAATGAGAACTCTTTGTCCACAGGGCTGAGGAAGCACTGATGGAAGCAGCTGCCAGGAAGTCCCCTGCACTTCATAGGTACTTGATGTGTTTGGTGATTTTTAGTTTCCAGAAGAAAGCAAACCTGAATCTCAGAGACAGAAGCCAAAGAAGCAGGTCCTAATGCCTGATAGAAACAGGTCAACCCAACGGTTCCCTTTGACCAGGAAGAAAGAAGCTTAAATTCTTAGTCAGTGGTGCTGAAGTGACTGTAGACTCCACCCCTGTCTTACTCCTCCTTGATATCTCCCTGCACAGTTCCCAGGACCCCTGGAACCCACAGCATCCTAAACCACCACAGCACCCAGGTAGGGACTTCAACCCCACCTACTGTCTCTGCAGTAGTCCACGGCTCTGGGTGCCTCCAGTCCTGTCAGGTTCCTATCAGGTTCCAACTAGGGATTAGTGGCTTATTTTCTCACTCCAACCACTCCAACACAGTATCCATGCCGAGAATTTATGTGACTACGTTCACATATACAAACTATTCTGGGACTTATGGAAAAAATTTACAGAAAGTAAAATATCAGGAAACTAGGTGTCATAGTTAACTTCAGCTTGACACACCCAGAGCCACTGCAAAAGCGCGACCCTCAGCTAAGGAATTAACTAAGTCAGATTGGCCTGTGACCATGTGCTGAGGCATTTTCTTAAGTGCTAGTTGATGTTGGAGGATCCAACTTACCGTGGCAGTGCCAACCCAGGGCATACAAACCTGGGCTGTATAAGAAGGGTAGCTGAAGAAGATAAAGGAAGCAAGTCAGTAAGCAGCTGTTGCTCCGTGGGCTTGGCTTCAGTTCCCATCTCCAGGTTCCTGCCTTGAGCTCCTTCCCTAATGAACCCCAATGGGGGAAAGCAACCTATAAACGGAAGCAAACTCTTTTCGCCCCAAGTTGTTTTGGGTCCTTTTGCTGCGGGAGTTTCTTCCGCTGCTTCAGCCAATAGTCGCTGAAGCACGAGCCCACGGTGCTGCGGGAGGGCCTTCCGCTCCGTCAGCCAATAGCCGCTGAAATACCAGTCCACTGGGGCGTGGTATATTTCTCTTTTA